GCAAGGTCGGGGGAGGAAGGGGAGAGGGGGAGAGGTCAGGACGGGGAGGTCGGGATGGGGGATGGGAACGGAGAAGGGAAAGATCGGGATCAGGTCGGGAGGTCGGGATGGGAGACGGGTTGGGACGATGTCAGCGGAAGGAAGTCAGGGAAGGAAAGGGAGAAGGAAGAGGTCGGGATGAGGTCGGGATGGGAAGGGAGTTGGGATAGAGGAGGAGGGAGGAGGAATCTAGGCATGGAAGAAGGTCGGGATGGGAGTTGGGATAGAGGAGGAGGGAGGAGGAATCTAGGCATGGGGCAAGGTCAGGGAAGGAAGGGGAGAGGGGGAGAGGTCGGGACGGGGAGGTCGGGATAGGAGACGGGAACGGAGGAGGCAGAGGTCAGGATCAGGTCGGAAGGTCGGGATGGGAGACGGGTTGGGACGATGTCGGGGAAGGAAAGGGAGAACGAAGAGGCCGCGATGAGGTCGGGATAGAGGAGGAGGGAGGAGGAATCTAGGCATGGGAGACGGCTCGGGACGATGTCGGGATAGGGGAGTGGGACGACGAGCTCGGAGAAGGAAAGGGGGGAGGCAGAGTTGGGACGACGTCGGGGGAAGGAAGGAGAGGGGGGGAGAGTCCGAATCAGGTCGGGAGGTCGGGATGGAAGACGGGTTGGGACAGGGAAGGAAAGGGAGGAGGAAGAGATGGCAATGACGTCGGGATGGGAGTTGGGATAGAGGAGGAGGGAGGAGGAATCTAGGCATGGGAGAAGGTCGGGGGGCAAGGTTGGGGGAGCAAGGGGAGAGAGGGAGAGGTTGGGACAGGGAGGTCGGGATGGGAGGTCGGGACTGGGAGGTCGGGATGGGAGACGCGAACAGAGGAGGGAGAGGTCGGGATCAGGGAGGGAGAGTTGGGACAATGTCGGGGGAAGGAAGAAGAGGTCGGGACGGGGAGGTCGAGACGGGGAGGTCGGGATGGGGGACGGGAACGGAGAAGGGAAAGGTCGGGATCAGCTCGGGAGGTCGGGATGGGAAACGGGTTGCGACGATGTCGGGGGAAGGAAGTCGGGAAGGAAAGAGAGAAGGAAGAGGTCGGGGAGCAAGGGGAGGGAGGGAGAGGTCGGGACGGGGAGGTCGGGATGGGAGGTCGGGATGGGAGACGCGAACAGAGGAGGGAGAGGTCGGGATCAGCGAGGGAGAGTTGGGACGATGTCGGGGGAAGGAAGGAGAGGGGGAGAGAAGTCGAGACGGGAAGGAAGGGAAGGTGGGGGGGGGAAGAGGTCGGGGTGAGTTCGGGATGGGATGGGAGTCGGGATAGAGGAGAAAGGAGGAATCTAGGCATGGGAGACGGCTTGGGACGATGTCAGGATAGGGAAGGGGGACGACAAGCTCGAAGAAGGAAAGGGGGGAGGGAGAGTTCGGACGACGTCGGGGGAAGGAAGGAGAGGGGGGGAGAGTCCAGATCAGGTTAGGATGTCGGGATGGGAGACAGGTTGGGACGCGGAAGGAAAGGGAGGAGGAAGAGATCGCGATGACGTCGGGATGGGAGTTGGGATAGAGGAGGGAGGAGGAATCTAGGCATGGGAGAAGGTCGGGATGGGAGTTGGGATAGAGGAGGAGGAAGGAGGAATCTAGGCATGGGACAAGGTCGGGGGAGCAAGGGGAGAGAGGGAGAGGTCGGGACGGGGAGGTCGGGATGGGAGACGCGAACAGAGGAGGGAGAGGTCGGGATCAGGGAGGGAGAGTTGGGACGATGTCGGGGGAAGGAAGGAGAGGGGGAGAGAGGTCGAGACGGGAAGGAAGGGAAGGTGGAGGGGGGATCGGGATAACGTTGCGTTGGGACGATGTAGGGGGAAGGAAAAAGAGGGGAGGAGAGGTCGGGACAG